GGCAACACTTATGGTGTGGAGGCGGGATTTCCCTCTTCTTCCAACACAAGAAGTATCAATGATTTTAGCTTCATGCTTTAAATATCTCTGTATAGCAGCAAAATCAAACAAAAATGTGCAAAAGATCTTTGTAAATACTTCTCGTAGCTGCACCATAATCGATCTAGTAAAATATACATTTTTTCCTCTTTGGCAGAACCAAACAATTTGAATAAACAGAAATCATGCTACATTAGATTCTTCTTTACAGAATGCATAGATGCTTCATCATTGTGTGTGTGTGTGTGTGTGTGTGTGTGTGTGTGTGTGTGTGTGTGTGTGTGTGTGTGTGTGTGTGTGTGTGTGTGTGTGCGTGTGTGTGTGTGCAGCCTATTTCTGATTACAGCTTTTTTTGCGTCCATCCTGAAAAAGGTGTCAGCCTGGCAACCGCTTTGACCTCGGATTTCTCATGTTATTGTGACTTCTAAGACCATCGGACATGTATTTTTTTCAGCGAAGTGGATATTCAGGCATTGATGAATATTCATCGTCATGAAAGATATGAAATATACGACTTCGTGTTATTTTCTACATTGTTGAAATTATTACTTCTAGGATAATGTATAAAGAGAATGAATTTGATGTAAAGGTTTGATATGCTAATCATCTACACCTGCGCATATATTGCACTACATTGCACTGGCAAATAGAAATAAAATGGATAGATGGCAATAACTGACCGAGAAATTCCCATTTCATTAGAATGAACAAGATATACAACACAAGTATTGGGAGTTGGTTCTAAGATTTTTGCTTTTCACCCTCCTTGGAACCACCCAGCTAATAGTTGCTCGAGTTGAAACAAGCAAACATGCATTTTCTCGCTCACCTCTTCGAATGTGGATGCAACTCCTCAACGCCAAGACTCAATGCATAATAATAGCTGATTATACACTCTCGTAACTCATTACCAAGCATGACTTCATATTTCCATAGACGATACACACACACATCAATAACGAATCTACATATTCAGTGTAACCTGATTGTGATTTTGTTCATGCTCTGTATTGAAAAATCTAATTTAGCACGGTTTCTGTTTATTCAATATGTTTTAGGTAATTTAGTTACCATACATAAATGTTCAAGGCATGAAACTTTTTGATGTTTTAAGAAATATGTATCTATAAAAGATACTTCTTATGCTGTAAGGAATAAGAAATGCCGCCTCCCTATCATAGATGTTGCCATTTGGATAAACAAAATTCCAGGATATCGCATTGGAAGAATATCCAACTACAAAGTCAACGATAACTAATATTACATGCTTTGTTCTTTATCACTTATTGGAAGAAAGTGAAAGATAAAATGGCTTACTTAGTTTTAAAAAAAAATATTCATTAATACACTTATTGGTTACTAATTTTCGACCAATCACACTCTTTGTTACAGACTACCTAGGGTTTTAGCATCATTCACAAAAATAATATTTACATTATGTTTACTTCGACTTGTTGCCAGAGGTACAAAAGTGGGACCCAGAAAGTGTACTGAAATATAATTCCGCAACTGTACATATATATACATTTATACACATGTGTATATATATATGTATAAATGTGTGTGTGCGTGTGTGTGTATTATATGTATGTGTATGTATATACATATATATAA